ATAAAAAAAAAAGGCCGGGGGACGGGGGGGGCTTTGCATGCGTTTAAAAAGGGACCCGGCTGGGCTGGTGAAGCCGTCTCCGTACGCCGCGCGTCCAATTATTTCGTCTTCGGGTGGAACAAATCGTCCAGACAGGAACTTGGAAATCACCAATCAGGGCGTCCGAGTTCTGCTGCAGAAGTAATGGGCAGGAAAATGAGGTGCCGAATTGCAAAGTGCGCGTATCAGCTGACAGCTTACGGCTCGCTAAAAATTAAAAGACACTTAAAGGACCCTCAGCACCCCCCCCCACCCCCACCCCCCCCCCAACCGGAAAGTGTTAGGATGAGGGGCTGACTGGGAAAAACTCTACTTATATTTGCAGAATCATTGTTTTTCTGAATGAAGTCGTTGTTTAAAGCTCAAAAAAACTGACGGTTTAGAGCCACAAAAGCGCAGATTTAACGCTTTCGCCCCGGCCTAGCCGCCAGATAGTCATTTTTTCAATTTTATTTATTTATTTCTGATACACTTAAAAAAAAAAAAAAATTAAACTATTCTCCATTTTTTATTTCTCCAGGGGGAGGGTGATTCTTCAATGGACTAAATATATTTTAAGGTGTGTAAAAAACCAATAAAAATAAACAATAAATAAATAACACCTTTTATTTAAAAACATATTTTTTTTTTAAAAAAGTTTGCTAAAGAATCACCTTTTACTTTAGCGTATTTTTTTTTTTTACTGAAATTTTGCGTTCCCAGTTCCGGACGCTTCCCCCCCCCTTTCTAGTCCCCGGACGGCTCTCCCCCCTGTCCCCCCACCCCCCCCCCCCCTTCCAGTCCCCCCCCCCCCCCCGCTTCCCCCCCACCCCTCCACCCCCCCCTCCAGTCGCTCGTATAGACGCCTATTTGACCCCCCCTACACCCTCCTCCACTCAGTGCCGGACCCCCCCCCCCCCCACCCTCCATCTTACCCCCTACCGTGTCCCCCCACAGAGTATAGCCACTGTAACCTCATGTACATCCTCCCCCCCCCCCCTCTTTTTCCCCAGTAGTAGAGATCACTTCCCTCGCCCCCCCCCCCCACAAATCACCCCCCTGTCTGTCCTAGATACACCCCCGCCCCTTGCCCCCACCTAGTGTAGTATCCCATATCAAACCCCTCATACCACTGTCGCACCTATATGTACATATCAACTACACGACCGTTGATAGCCGATACCATCCCCTGTCCGCCAGTGCCCTCCCACATCACCCCCCACCGCTTCCCACCCAATAACATCCAATACCACCTGCCTTCCCAATAGACCACTCCCAGTCCCCTTCCTCTTCGTGCCAGTCATCCCCGGTATCGCTTCCCACCCCCATCCCATGTACCCCATACTGTGTCAGTCATATGACTACAACCGCCCCCCCCCCCCCCCCGCACCCCCCCCCCCTTCCACCCCCCCGCCCCCCCCCCGCCCCCCGCTCCCCACCCCTCCCGCCCCCCCCCACCCCACCCCCCCCGCTTCCCCTCCCCACGCCCCTTCTCAGTCCCCTGGGACACGCTTCCCCCCCCCCCCCCCCACCTTTCAGTCGGCACGCTCAACCCCCCCGGCCCCCACCCCCTTTCAGTCCAGGTACGCTTCCCCACCCACACCCCTTTCTAATCATGTCGCCTTTTCCCCCCCCCCCGCCGCCAATATACCCTTCGTTTGCCAGACGCACTTTTCCTCCCCACCCTTCTATGTCCAGACGCTTTCACCCCCCCTTCAGTCCGGTGCTCGCTCCCCCCCCCCCGCCTCCCCCCCCCCCCCCCCCCCCCTGCCCACCACCCCCACCCCCCGCTGTTGTAGCATCCAGTCAAACGCCGTGTTGACCGATGTGAACTCACAGTATCCAGGTCGGCTTCCCCCCCACCCCCTTCCTGTCCACTTTCCCGGGCCGCCTAGCCCCACTCTAAGTATCATCACGTCCGGACAGCTTCCCCCCCCCCCCTTATCTAGTAACGGCGTCACGATCTCCCACCCCCTTTTCAGTCCGGGACGCTCACCCCCCCCCCCTTTTCAGTACGGCCGGACGCCTCCCCCCCCCCCCCTCCCCCCCCCCCCCCCCCCCCCCACTTTCTAGTTCCGGTCGACCGGGACGCTCCCCCCCACCCTTCAGTCCGGACGGTCGCACGATTTCCCCAAACCTCTCTAATCCAGACGCTTCCCCCCCCTTCACTCCCCCACCTTCAGTCCGGACGACGCTTCCCCCCCCCCCCTCTTCAGGTACCAGACGCCTTCCCCCCCTGTCAGTCCCCGCTCCCCCCCACCCCGCACCCCCCCCCTTGCAGGTCCGGAACGCTTCCCACCCCTTCTTAGTTCCAGCGCTTCCACTCCCCCTTGGTGCTTCTCTAGGGTCCAGGACGCTTCCCCCCTCCTTCTAGTCCCAGAAGACGGCTTCCCCCCCCTTTGCTAAGTCCAGTCGCTTCCCCCCTCCCCCCCTTCTAGTCAGGACAAGTCGCTTCACCCCCACTTCTAGTCCAGGAGGGAAACACGCTGCCCCCCCCCACCCCCCCCCCCCTTTCTAGTTACAGACGCTCCCCCCACTTCTTGTCCAGACGTTTCCCCCCCCTTCTCAGTCCAGACGCTTCCCCCCCCCTTTCCGTTACCGGGACGCTTCCATCCCGCCTTTCAGTACCGGACGCTTCCCCCCCCTTTTTTTCAGTCCCGGGACGACTTCCCACCCCCCTTTGCAGTTCCCGGACGCTCTCCCCCCCCATGTCAAGTTCAGGAACGCTTCCCCCACCATTCACTCTGTCCGGAACGCTTCCCCCCCCCTTCAGTCGGACGCTCCCCCCCCCCCTTTCAGTAGCCGGACGCTTCACCCCACCTTCTAGTCGGTCGCTTTCCTCCCCTTCTAGTACGGGACGCTTCCCCCCCCCTGTTCTCTAGTTTCAAGACGGCTTCCCCCCCTTCTAGTCCAGACGCTTCCCCACCCCTTCTAGTCCAGACGCTTCACCCCCTTCTAGTCCAGACGCTTCCCCCCCCTTTCTGAGTCAGACGCTCCCCCCCCTTTTCAGTCCGGTCGCTTCCCCCCCCCCTTTCTGTCAGTCCGGACGCTTTCCCCCCCCACTTTCAGTCCGGAACGCTTCCCCCCCCTTCAGTCCTTCCGGAGACGCTTCCCCCCCCCCCTTTCTAAGTCCGGATGATGCTTCCCCCCCCCCCCCACCCACCCCCTTTCAGTCCGGACGCTTCCCCCCCCGCTTCCAGTCCGGACACTTTGCCCCCCTTCCTGTCCAGGCCAATTTTCACCTTTCAGCGCTATCACGCTTTTAAATGACAATTGCGCGGTCAATGCAACACTGCATCCATATAATATAATATTTTATGCATTTTTTTTTTGAGACAGATTAAAAAAAAAACAAAAACTTAATTTTGGTGGGGGTATTTATTCACTGCTTGGATTTTTATTGTTTTTGCTATATAAATCCTAAAAAATGTAAAAAAAAAAAGGTTTTTCTTATAAAATTTGGCAAATAAAATAATTTTTCTTCATAAATCTCGGCCCCAAAATGAATTCAGTTATCTTTTTAGTAGAAAAATAACCCAAATTAGTTAACACAATTTTTTTTTAATTGTTATGTTACTTATGGGGGTTTTCTTTCTTTTCTTTTAGCATGCCGTCACCATAGTGACACTACTTACTTCTCGGGGGGGCGGGGGGGGGGGGGGGTGCGGGGGTGATGATTTTTTTTTTTTTTTTTACATGATGTCTCCTTTGCACCCATAAAGGCTGTAAAAGCAATAATTTCTCCTTCTCTTCTGGCTGCATGCCCTGGCAGCTATTGAGAAATTCTGTGGAGAGCTGTGATTGGTCACAGCTTTTGTCACATGGTACAAAAGCTTGTTGTGAATACATACCTTGTGATCTCTGTGATCATTCACCAATGATGTCAGGAAGTGTTCATTGGCCAATCAGTGATCACATGATCGGGACCTCACACAGAGGACACAGTGGGCACCGGATCGCAGTGCTGTGCGCTCCCAGGGAGCGCACACAGGCTGTAAACGTGAGCGCCGTTTATGAACGGCAACCCACTCCTGCACTGCCACCGCCCGGCCATTTATGTACGTGGGTACCGGACGGGAAGTGGTTAAGCACAATCGCTAAATGGTTCTCACTTTCACCTGGCAGTACTCGTGTCGTCGGTTCGAATCCCAACCACGGCACCACCTGCCTGGCGTTTGCATGTTCTCCCTGTGCCTGTGTGGGTTTCCTCCGGGTACTCCGATTTCCTCCCACACCCCAAAGACACGCTGGTAGGTGAATTGTCTCTCCGGTCTAAATTGGCCCTAGTATGTGTATGTATGAATGTGAGTTAGGGACCTTAGATTGTACGCTCCTCGGGGGCGAGGGGGGGGACTGATGTGAATGTACAATATATATGTAAGGCGCTATAGAAGTACCTGAAACAATAATAATAATTTTAAGAAACTATCACTTGTGTGGATTGAGGAGCTAAACCCGTTTATCACCATGGATGATCCAGGCCCTCGATGAACATCGAACGTTTCCTGCGGACCGTGTGCCATCAAGCTGCACGATGACATTGAAGAATGAGAAGAAGAGGGAGCCGAGCTTGTCAGGAGCCGCGATAAATCAGCCTGTCAGTCCTAATACATGTACATTCATTTACAAAGATTTACATAACAGATACTAACGATTACCAATAGAAAGAGCCGATCGTCCTGACAGATATGAGGTAGAAGAAACAAATGAGATCAGCACAATTAACTACACCAACATAGATGGGCTGCAAGACATCTGCCCATCCCCCATCGTCCTGCCGGAACACCGAGACCTGCCGGAACACAGAGACCTGCCGGAACACAGAGACCTGCCGGAACACCGAGACTGCCGGAACACAGAGGCCTGCCGGAACACAGAGACCTGCCGGAACACAGAGACTGCCGGAAACACAGAGACCTGCCGGAACACAGAGACCTGCCGGAACACAGAGACCTGCCGGAACACAGAGACCTGCCGGAACACAGAGACCTGCCGGAACACAGAGACCTGCCGGAATCTTCACCCCAACCAGAACGAACATATTGAAGTCCACAGAAAGAAGGAAAAATTCAGTGCCAGGCTACCCGCCTTCACTATATCCTCTCTCCCCGGACCCCGCATTCGCTACGTCCGCTGTCCCCGGACCCGCATTCGCTACGTCCGCTCTCCCCGGACCCCGCATTCGCTACGTCCGCTCTCCCGGACCCCGCATTCACTACATCCGCTGTCCCCGGACCCCGCATTCACTACGTCCGCTGTCCCCGGACCCCGCATTCACTACGTCCGCTGTCCCGGACCCCGCATTCGCTATGTCCGCTCTCCCGGACCCCGCATTCGCTATATCCGCTCTCCCCGGACCCCGCATTCGCTATATCCGCTCTCCCCGGACCCGCGCATTCGCTATATCCGCTCTCCCCGGACCCCGCATTCACTATATCCGCTCTCCCGGACCCCGCATTCACTATATCCGAACTCCCCGGACCCCGCATTCACTATATCCGCTCTCCCCTGGCCCCGCATTCACTATATCCAATCTCCCCTGGCCCCGCATTCACTATGTCCGCTCTCCCCGGACCCCGCATTCACTATGTCCGCTGTCCCGGACCCCGCATTCACTATGTCCGCTGTCCCCGGACCCCGCATTCACTATAGGGTCCGCTCTCCCCGGACCCCGCATTCACTATATCCGCTCTCCCCGGACCCCGCACTCACTATATCCGCTCTCCCCGGACCCCGCACTCACTATATCCGCTCTCTCCCGGACCCGCATCACTATATCCCGCTCTCTCCGGACCCCGCATTCACTATATCCGCTCTCTCCGGACCCGCATTCACTATTTCCGCTCTCTCCGGACCCCGCATTTCACTATTTCCGCTCTCCCCGGACCCCGCATTCACTATATCGCTCTCCCCGGACCCCGCATTCACTATATCCGCTCTACCCGGACCCCGCATTCACTATATCCGCTCTCCCGGACCCGCATTCACTATATCCGCTCTCCCCGGACCCCGCATTCAACTATATCCGCTCATCTGCCAGGACCCCGGCATTCCTATATACGGGACCCCCCGCATTAACTATATCCGCTCTCTCCGGCCCGGACCCACGCATTCACTATATCCGCTCTCCACTACCCGGACCCCGCATTCACTATATCCGCTTCCCCGGGATGCCCCGCATTCATACTATATCCGCTCTCCCTGGACCCAGCATTCACTATATCCGCTCTCCACGGACCCCGCATTCACTATATCCGCTCTCTCCGGACCCCGCATTCACTATATCCGCTCTCTCACCGGACGTCCCCGCATTCACTATAATCCGCTCTCCCCGGACCCCGCATGTGCACTATATAGAGTCCGCTCTCCTCCGAGACCTCCGCATTCACTATATATCCGCTCTCCCGGATTCCCCGCGCATTCACTATATCCGGTCTTCCCCGGACCCCGATTTTCAACTATATCCGCTGACTCCCACGGACCCCGCATCCACTATATACCGCTCTCCCGGAACCCCGCATTCACTATATCCGCTTCCCCGGACCCTGCATTCACTTATATCCGCTCTCCCCGGACCCTGCATTCACTATATCCCGCTCTCCACAGTACACAGCACATGGAAATGCAATTATTTTAGTAAATTACAGCGAGAACAGAGTATTTGAACCCCCTGCGATTTTGCAAGTTCTCCCACTTAGAAATCATGGAGGGGTCTGACGTTCACATTGCAGGTGCATTTCCCAGTCTGAGAACAAATATAGCTCAGAGAATCAGCTGTCACTTCCCCCAACTAAAACAAAGAACGTTTCTTTTAGTTTATTTCCCCAAAAGTAACAATGTTTCCTTTTAGTTTTGGTTCCGGAGATAAAAGAAAAAGTATACTTTATCTCCGGGGAAAGTGACAGCTAATTCTGAGTGCTATAGTGAAAAAAAAAAGGAGAAGCATCCAATCACTCCGATTTTGCTTGGTGTGATCAGAAGGTTTTAAGGGGCAGCCGGGATCTAGGTTTTTTTTGTAGATTCTCAGTCTCTCCATTAAGAGTGCCTGTCACTGCGCATTTGCGATCGCACGGGATATTTACATTCCCTATGATAACAATAAAAGTGATATTAAAAAAAAAAAATATGTAAAAAAAAATTAAATAAATAAAAAAAATTTTTTTTTATCGTGTCTTCATCTGACGGCGCTCACGTGCAAAGGTGAACGCACGAGTCGGTCCTGCATGCATGCAAACGCTATTCAACCCACATTACGCGCGGTTATCATGCTGCCCATGAACGTCAAATCACGGGCAGCAATTCTAGCGCCAGACCTCCTCTGTATATCAAAAGTGGCAACCTGTGGAAGCTTTTAAAGCGTCGCCTAATGGATAGTAAAATTTACGCCATTTGTCGCCGTTACATGGGGGCATGCGCAATTTTAAAACGTGACATGTTTGGTATCTATTAACTTGGCATAGCATTTCTATATTTTACCAAACAATTGGGTGTTGTGGATTTGCGCAATAAATTTTTAAAGAAGTGAATTTAAAAAAATAAATAAAAAAATTGCATTGAAAAACTGCTGTACAAATACTGTGTGTCATAAAATAAATTGCAGCACCCACCAATTTATTTCTCTAGGGTTCTGCTTTAACCACTTCCTGTCCGGACACTTTCAACCCCCCCTTCCAGTCCGGACAAACACTTTCACCCCCCCTTCCAGTCCGGACACTTTCACCCCCCTTCCAGGACACTTTCACCACCCCTCCACCAGTCCGGACACTTTCACCCCACTTTCACCCCCTTCCAGTACGCAGGTCCCCCTTCCAGTTCCCGGAACTTTCTCCCCTTCCAGTTTACTTTCTCCCCTTTCAGCGGACACTTTCACCTCCCCCCTTCCAGTCCGGCACATCTTTCACCCCCCACACCAGTCCGGGACACTTTCACCCCAATTGTCCGGACCACTTTCACCCCCCCTTCCTGTCCAGGGTTTAGCGCTTAACACTGAATGGCAATTGCGCGGTCATACCTGTATGAATTTTTTACCATTTTTTTTGAGACAGATAAAGCTTTACTTTGGTGGTATTTATTCACCGCTGGGATTTTTATTTTTTTTTTACTATGTAAATGAAAAAGTTCAAAAATTTTGACAAAAAGTGTTTGTTTTTAAATAAAATTTTTGCAAATAAATAATATTTCATCATAAATCTTAGCCAAAATTTATTCCGTTATTTTTTTAGTAAAAAAAAAAAATCCAAATTAGTTTATAACCAAAAATTATAATTTTTAAAACATTTTTTTTTACATTTTTTTTTTTTATATTATTTTTTATTTTTATTTTTTTTTACATACTGTCACCCTAGCAGTATACTGTCACCATGGTGACACTGTACTACTTGTGGGGAGTGATGAAGATTTTTTTTTTTTTTTTTTACACTGATTGCTTTTACACCCATATAGGATATAAAAGCAATCATTTCTCTTTCTCTCTGTCTGCATTCTTGCAGTCATTGAGAATTACTGAGTGTGAGCTGTGAGTGGTCACAGCTTGTCACATGGTACAAGGCTGTTGTGAATGGCCCTGTACCATGTGACCTCTGTGATCATTCACAGATTTCACACATAGTAAGCAATGATGTCACAAGTGACACCTTGCTTACTACTCTGCATGTGATCACTGATTGGCCAATCAGTGATCACATGATCGGGACCTCGTACAGAGAGGTCCCGTCCGACGATCGGTGTTTCACTGTGTCTGGAGGACACAGCGGGCACCGGATCGCGGTGGTGCTGCGCGCGCTCCCAGGGAGCGCGCACAGCTAGAAAAGGCGGGGGGGTGCCGTTTATGGACGGTAACCCGACCCTGGACCGCCACCGCCCTGCCGTTTATAAACAGCAGGCGGACGGCAAGAGGTTAAAAAAAAAATGTTTGGGGGTTCTAAGAAATATTCTAGCAAAAAATGGATATTGGCCCAAGTTGAGAAGATCTGGACTTCGTTCTCCAAGATGTCTGGAACAACCTACCGGTACTTCCCGAGTTCCTTCAACCCCCGTGTGCAAGTCTACTTAGAAGGCGAAGGGCGGCCACACCGAATATTGATTGGATTTCTCTTCTCTTCCTTCCCACTTTGTAAATCAATACAAATAAATTTATTAACACTTCCATTTCTGAAAGCTTTCCTCGTTTGCAGCATTCGCATCACACCCGCCTACGACCCAATGTAGTGAGAGCTCCTCTGTCTTCATTATCCTTCGCCGGAACTCCTTTGAGTGCCTACAAGATCGATCGATTGATGGATAGAAAATTCCCACAAGATCCTTCTTACAACTTCCAGTCATAGAGTTGGTCTCCTCCATCCGAATTCAGTGCCGACACCCCATGCTGCCACCCGGAAGACCACCCAGAAGACCACCCCCACCTACCCACCCACCCACAGAGAAGCTGCAGCCTCCCGCAGGAGGAACGTGTAGCCGCTTCACGATCCGGAACTCCTTCCTTGTAATTATGCAACGTATTGATTCAACGTTTAATTAGCCCCGAACATCAGAGGAGCTGGAGGCGGACGGATGGATGGATGGATCGAGGGGTCTGAATAGGCGCATCCACCATGTGGCTGCAGATGAAGGATGTCACAAGTATACTCAGGATCCACATATTAACCCCTCGCCTTCCAGAGGATTCCCCCCCTTCCTGACCAGGCCATTTTTGGCAATACAGCGCTGCGCTACTTTGACAATTGCACAATCATGCAACGCTGCAACCACTGCACACCCGGCAATTTAACTTTGAGGTGTCTGTGTGACAAGGAAAGAATGTCCCCAGCACACCGAGGTTCTCCAATATGGGTTCAAGGGTTTAACCCCTCGCCCTCCAGAGGATTCCCAACCTTCCTGACCAGGCCGTTTTTGGCGATACAGCGATGCGCTACTTTGACCATTGCACGGTCATGCAACGCTGCACCCAAATTAAATTTGTGTCCTTTTTTTCCCCCACAAATAGAGCTTTCTTTCGGTGGTATTCGATCGCCTGTGCGGTTTTCTTTTTTGCGCTCTAAAACAAAAAAGGAACTGACGATTTTCAGAACAAAAAAAATTTAAATTAAAAAAAAAAAAAAAAAAAAAAAAAAAAACGTATTTATGACTTTTTGCTATTAAACATATCCAGTAAAAAAAAAAATTTTAAAAATCAAATTTCGTCATAAATTTCAGTCAAAATGTATTCTGCTCCGTGTCTTTGCTAAAAAAAAAAAAAAAAAAAATTCCAATACGTGTAAATTAATTATTTTCCGTGAAAGGTATAGCGTCTACAAATGGTGAGATATATATAATGGGAATTTTTTTAATTTAGTAATGGTGTCGATCAGCGACTTATAGCAGGACTGCGGCAGGCATTCTGACACTGGGGGGGGGGGGGGGGGGAACTGACTTGGTGTCACGGACCTCCCCAGTGACACCAATGCAGTGATCAGTTCTAATAAAAAACGCCGACACTGTACTAATGGCACTGGGCAGGAAGGGGTTAACATGAGGGGCAATCAAAGGGTTAACTGTGTGCTGGGGAGTGTTTTACTAGGAGGCGCTTCACTGTAAGCGCACTGAACGGGATGGCTGTGGGATTGTGTGCGGTTTCACAGTGGGCTGTGTGCAGGGGTTAACTGACCAATTGGAAACTTGGGCACTGCCTGAGGGCCTGGGGTCAGTAGGGGCCCCATGAGATGCCCCTGGTACCTTTTTCATAGGCTTTTTTGAGTTTGGGCAAGGACACAGGGGGCCCCATGATCCCCTATTGCCCGGGGGCCCCATGGGGGGATCATGGGGCCTCCGGGCAATAGGGGCATCATACCAGGGGCATCTCATGGGGCCCCCTACTGACCCCGGGCCCTTGGGCAGTGCCTGAGTTTCCAAATGGTCAGTCCGCCCCTGGCCTCATCCCAGGTCTTTCCTGTTATCGATACAAGTCGGTTACCAAAACATTTTGAGACTAGTTTTGTAGCACGCCAACAAATGGCGGCACAGGGCTGCACGCACAGTCACAGGGAGCACCGACCTTCAGTGTGCCAAAAGAGATCGTCCTGTGTACATTGGGAGCTGTGCAACTGGTGCTATTTTTAGCACATTTTGCCATTTCATCATGGACAGCAAAACGTGAAATTCTCTGCGAAACCGGGCAAATCTGCCACGCGGACGTTTGACACGATTTGGCAAGTTTACGGCGATGCTGCAATGAGTCGTTCGAGGTGTTTTGAGCGGCACGCGCACTTCAGGGCGGAAGAACATCACTGGAAGACAGGGGTGGACTGACCAATTGGAAACTCGTGCACTGCCCGAGGGCCCGGGGTCAGTAGGGGGCCCCATGAGATGC